CTGCTCTGTATCCCTGATATACGATTCTTGGACAGCTTTCTGTAGAGCAAACGAAAATGAGTATTTAAAGACGTTAAAGAAGAAAAGAAGGAAGGAACGATGGAAGAAAGGAAGGATTGATGGAATAATGGAACGAAGGAAGGAACGATGGAAGGATGGAAGGAAGGATGGATGAAATGATGGAACGATGGAAGGGAGAGAATAAAAGAAAGACTAGATGTTGAACAAAGAGCAAAAGAACGAACGAACGAAAGAAAATAAGAACAAATATAAGAAAGAACAAAAGAAAGGAGCGAACGAACGAAGGAAGAAAACATCAAAGAATGAAAGGAAAACAAAAACAAAAAAAGTGGAAAAAGAAAAACGAAGAAAAATTAATATTTTTGAATCTTTACAAAGAAACGTTCACAGGGCGTTGTTTTATAGCTTTTTTTTTTTTTTGCTCAAAAATGCCCTCCTAAGGTCTGGCACCATTCACACGCAACACCGCTGTGCAGCAGTAAATTAAACGGGAGTATACCGCATCTTTCTATCTATTTCTCGAATATCCTTTAGTAATCCTTTCTCGAGTCGTTTACAATCAGGCCAGAGGTTAATTCATTTTTTCTCGCCGTCATGGCGCGTTTCAAAAAGATCAAGTAAAACGTGGTACCACTAAAAGGAATGTGTTAAAATAGTGTTTCGACAGATAAAAGCATATTATTGAAGTAAAAGAACTTTGCCTTGAGATATTAAGAATTTATCTGGCGGTCGTTGGCAAAAGAATCGAACGTGACAGAGCAAAATTCAATATAAAACGATAAGCAGGCGAGTCATGATTTTGTACATTGTACGAAAGTATACAAATTGTTTGAAAGTATACACTCGTTCCTGTCCTAACAAACGGCAGCGAACATTTCAATTTTTTTTTTTTTTTTTTGGGTGACTCGCATGCGAAACTATCTCAAACCACAAGCTTACTTAGCGAAGTTCAGCCATCGGAAACCACAAGAGGTCATCAGATACTCGCTCGTAATGTCAACAACCGAATTACTGATTGATTCCCTTACGAATGTCACTTAGAAAATTACGCCAATAACTTTGTGATTTTTCAATTTTCCAACAGTAATTTCTAATGAAAGACTTTCTTGACACGAGAATTCGCTGTAAGTTTACTTAAGTATTAAAGCTACGATTGTGATTGTCATTCGTGATGGTCTGTGTTGACTCTTTTGTCAATTCTGGTGAAAACACAATAGCGAGTTTAGCAGTGCAAAATAACCTCTAGTACTCCCATACTGACAGATTGCTTCCCTGAAATAACGAAAACTAACCACAAGAAAGGAAAACCCCCCTAACCAACCATAATTCCGTTCTTCTTGACGACTAATCAATCCCCAAAAGGGAATCAAATCAGGATTACAAGATGAAAATGTAGGGAATCTTAGGAAATAAAAAAGGCGAAGTCCAACTGGCACAAGGAAAATATTTGTTAAGATTAGCTTGAATTAAGAGGCTCACTCGAACAACAACTCGAGCCTCACACGTTGACAGTGACACTACAGACCACATAAGACTCCATTAATATTAGAATTTTTTTTAAAAATACTTACAAAGTTCGCAAAAGTACGAGTCCTTGCAATGACTTTGACACGAACTTGATGCTGTTTCTGCTAAGGTCTCTGTTAATAAAAGGAGGGGAAAATATATGAAAACGGTAATTGAATAGTCACTGAATACATAGAAAAAATTGTAGAGTTATGGCATTTACTGAAAGACAATAGTTGAGAAAGATTTTTGGCTAAATTACTGGTATGTCGTCATAGCAAAGTGGAGGTCAAGAAATGACATTTCGGAGAGTAATAAGATATGCTATACGGACAGATGGTCAGGAGAGATAAGAAAAAATAATGTCAATGATACTTACAGGTTAGCTAGAGAGTTTAACTGTGATAGGGCAAGAGGGATAGCTGTGAATTTATTTCTGTTTAGTTTCCTACAACGGAAAACCAGGAAAAAAATATTTAAGATCTTAGGAAGTCTCCCACGACGTTACCGACTCTGACAAGCTAAATGATAAGGGTTTTACTGCTGCCAACTCCAACAATTGAAAAAGTAATCGCAATGGACATAAAGGGAATTAAGCAAAGCCATTTCGATGCCTCGGCATTAAACGGGCTTCCCACCGAGGCAACAAAAGAAGGTCACGGCATTTGAGATCACGAGGGCTTAGAAGGATTTTTTCGAATCAATACGAAGAAAAAAGTAATGAAAAGTGACGTACAGGAAATTGGGAACCCATTATAATGCGCTTGCTGCGAAAGGGCTTCCACGCTTTAAATGTTCGAAGTGAGCAATTAGTGCGACATTTTGGAAAAGTAAATATTTGGAATTAAGAAAGCCATATTGCAACGTTCGCTCTGGGGTCTTTACTTCGTAGAAATGAGGATAGCCAATTAAAAACAACGGCATAAGGAATTAAGAAAGCCATTACATAGCGCTGCATTGAAGGGCTTCCCAATGTAGGTCTTTAAACAAGAATTAAAAAATGACAGAATTAAGAAAGCCACAACAAAGCGCCTGCTTTTGTACGGAATCCCTAGGAGTAAAAAAAATAACGTATTGGAATTAGGGAAGCCATTATGAAGCGCTTACAGTACTGTACAGTGAAAGGGCTTCCCAATAACCAAAGTATAGAGGTCACGTTGGTTCAGATGACGAGAGCTTAGGTAGATTTTTCTAATCACTAGTGTGATCAGTGCTGTCAATAGAATTAGTGTCATTGGAGACGTAGCCCACACAGGCCATTCGGAAAGAAATTGAAGTCTTGCGAAAATCTTTGTGAAAACACTGACAGAAAAATTGAAGTAATCGTAAAAATGAAAACCCTTGCTTTGCTTCCTCCACTTGTTTTACAAGCGTAGTACTTAAATAGCCAGTGGCTAACTAGCCTGTGGTCTTCATTCCATGATCAGAAACATTTTTTGAGACTGATAAAACGATAATGTAAACTGAAAAGACTTTTCAAGATAACAATACTTACAAGAATTTTAACCTGGTGAGGTTCGTGAATGCATTGATGCCTACAGTCTTTATCTTGTTGCTATTCAAATACCTGAAAAAAAAAGCAAAAGTAAATAAAAATGAGTATTCGGTTGCCTCCTTTTTCGGGGATAGGGACCGGAGCAGGGGCTGCGAGAACGGGCTTCTCTTGTTCCAACCGTTCCTACCAAAAAAAAGTCCTCCAACGTGATTATTTCAAAGAATGGGCTTATATAATATCTGAGTTGATAGTATTGTTGAATTCCAACCAAAATTGAGTTCAGAATTTTTTCTCACAGCATGATGAGAATTTCTGAAATAGTATCTTAGGACATAGGAGAAGAGTTATTTAAGGTATAAGATTTGTATTGTTATCTTTTTCTAGCATTTTTGTGTAGTATTTTTGATGTTATGTAGAGTAATTTGTTCAAGTTATAGAGGCTGAGTAATCAAAGGACAGACACTCCAGATTACAAAATACTATCAGTTCAGATATTATATGAGCTAATTATTTGAAACTGTTGTGTTGGAGTACTTTTTTGACATTGATGCACTTTAGGGAGACATAGAGTTAAAAAAAGTAGTCTAATGTCTTTCATACATGTATCAATGGAACAGGGAGGGGTCTCCCTGATTGAAAACAGATACTTTTTGCCAAGTATCTAAGTGCACTAGTTTGTCATAGTCACACAAAAAATTCTATTTTTCCATTCCTCTGCACATTTTCAAGATGGGTGTGTGCATTTAGAACTTCTTATATAGCGTAATTTCATCCCTCTTAACCCAGCCCAGAACACATTCAATCCACGTCTTTCAACATGCTTTTCCCTTGACATCAATGTCCAGTGCATTGAGTGAATTAAAAAAACTCTTTTAAAAGATGACATTGACTTACAGTTTTCTGAGGGAGTGTTGCTTCGTGGTGTTGAAGGAAGGTACTGTCGTGATTTTATTGTGATGTCTGTAAGGAAGAAAGAGAGAATTCAAACTGATGAGTTTTATGAGTGGATAAATAAATAATGAACGGGTTAGGACAGGCGTACAGGATACAGAGAAAAAGTACCACCCTCAGAAACACAGCTGGGGAATGAACAAGATAGGAGTTCCCCATCTACCATCTGGGTCAATTTGTGTGCCTTTGAAATAAAGGCTGGGCTGGTATATTAATTTATAAATGAACCAAAAGAAAAACAAAATGGAAGCTAACTGATTATCAACAGTACAAATGGCAAAGTTAAACAAGGAAATTGAAAAAGAACACTGGTGTAAAAAAAATACGACCAAATATCTCTATAAATGGCAAGTGTACTTTGAAATATGATCACAAAGACAACGCAGTGATTGAAAGTAAATGACCAAACCAATCAACAAGCTAGCGACATTGGCATTGATTAACAAGAGGTCAAACTGCTGCAGTATACTGGCTATACAGCCTGTAGGTACACTACCAGCAGCTTTTAATACATTTACTTTGGTTTGATCTCATACATTTCAACGGCTTGTAGTGAAATTGGTTTTTCACTGCCGCCAATTAAGAACGTAAAGGTACCAACTGAATACTTTTGATTGACAGCAGCAAAAAACCAAATTTCAGCATGCAACTTGCAGCTTGCAACTACAGAGTTCGCAGAATATATTGAAAACTGCAGTAACAGGAATTACATTTCTATGAGATTATAATTAATTTTAAATTGCATTGTGAAAAGTTTAATGCACCCTTGTACAACCTGGCCCAGATGACATTGCTATGAAACGTACAAGTAAAACTGTAGTATCAGGATATGTGAGGATCAACAGTCAATACATGTATATAGGCGTCTACTTACAGAGAGAGGACAGTTAATGTAGTAGGAAATGAATCCCAAGGGGGAAGTTTCTTGATCTTGTTATGATGAAGGATGCTGAAGAAAAACACTTTTATTTAGTTTTCTGAAATACTGTACTGCAAACTAAGGGTTTATACAAGGGATAATTTTATTCCTAAACATGCTTGAGCTCACTGACTGAGCAAATCATTGAAACTGGTACTGATGATCCCAAAATTACATCTACTATGCCAAAGCTATCAAGCCCACAACCCTATTGTTGCTATTCCCAGAATATTTCTAGCTGATTTATAATCACGTACAATGTACATACTTAAAGCTCTTCACGCCCCACAGTCATATATACTAGGGGAGGTGTCAGAATTTTTCATATACCCTAACATTCCAGCAATACCCCCTCTCCCACCAGTTACAAGCCTTGTGGCACTAGTCTGCTAATGCAAATATCCTTTCAATTTTAAGCTCCCCCCCTTCCCCCCCCC